AAAAATCTCTCCCCAGTGGGAAGGGCAGCTCTTCTGACCAACCTGCCGCCAGAGCAGGAAGCGGAGCGCAATAGATTTCCAGCGGTGCCTACAGAACAGGAAGCCAACTGCCAGAATCAGCAGAAACAAAGCCTAAATGAAAACTCAGTTTTGGGAAGGGGAAGGTTAAACAGAAAGTTAAGGGTAAAGTCTCTTAAGACAGCTGAGCGGATCTGACCCACCCCTGCCTCTCCGCCACCCTCTCCTGTTCCTCTTTACACCTCCCTAGAATTTGCCTGACCCTGCAGCAAGCTGTTTCAGCTTACCAGACTGGAGGAAAAGTAACTGGCCCCTCCTATAGTAGAGTAAATGGGCTTTTTGCCTAGCTGCTGGAACGGATCAGCCCATGGAGATCATCAGTGGGGCTCACACAGGGAAGCAGTCGCTGTTTCTGGGCCAGGAGCGGGAAGGGAGGGGTGGCGTGACTAACACAGATGACCTCTCAGGAGGGTTCAGCCAACCCTACAGAAAAATGGGAAACTTCTTAGCTCTGCCACAGATATTCCCTCTTCTTTTGAGTAAGTAATGAAAACCATCGTACGACAGTCACCTGTGAGTATGTGTTGCTTCTCTGCCAGCACCAGTGTGTTCCACAGCTTTAAGCTAAATGCTGGGAGCTACCTCTCTCAGGAATCACACGCTGGTCTTAACTGAGGCTTTGGGGCACTCTATTCATACAAATCCATAATTGTTAGCAACTGCAAGCTACTCAAAGATAAAAAGAGAGAGAATCCAGTATGGTCTGTTGCAGGACATCCTATTCTTGTTTTGGCAACATTATTTTATAATTAACTTGTTGTGATAGAATGCCTGTTTATCATACGGGTTTCAACTTTTATCCCCTCTGATTTTGAGCCAAATCCCATTGACAGCACATGAAAAGAGAAAGTAAAACTCAGAGTACCAATTAAAACTTCATTTCCTAAGTTAAAGTACACAAACAGCCAAGCACCAAAAAAAATTGAAAAGCTTAAAATCCCACTCTAATTTTAGAATACTCCATTGAGAAGAAGAAAAGAAATATATATAGTGGGTTTTCATACTTTGCTTTTGAGTGAATAACCCTTCCCTCTCCCTCAAATGACAAATTAAATCTCTCTTAGAAGATGTTCCTGCAAAGTGTCATTTCTCTTGCTGTGTGGTATTTTCCCCAAACAGCAAGCATCAAAAGAGCAAATGAAATTCCTACCTTTCTTCTTTGAGCATTTAGAGGCTTGTCATGATCAGCCTCACTTTCCTCCACATTATCTTCTTGTAATTCAATAATCTCCTGCTTCTGACCAGAGCTTTGCCTTTTCATAGCTTCTGTCTCCGCACGAGGACCTCTGTCTCTGAAGCAAGCACGGAGGCAACTCATTTCCTTCTGGTTTCTGCAGTGTCTGTGGTCAGTAGCAGTTCTGGTATGAGGCTGGAGACAGCAACAGTGAGAGTTGGGATAGTCTTCCTGGGAGTGATCTCAAAACTCTGACAAACGAGGGGAATTCCTTGAAAGGACAAATAGTGTTGTCTACATTGGCTACGGAGAAACGGGAGGCGGAGGAAGTATCGATTTGCCTCGTTGCCAGAACTACAGCCCTCAGCTGTGCAATACTAGGTTTTCCAGTTTGTCTACCTTACTGTACCAGCCCTTGACAAGCACAAGCAGGTGACTAAACCTTCAGCAACGTTGTCATTGCTGAGGTAGTTCTGAAAGGAACCAGATTGCTTTCCCTGCTGTGGTCAGCTGAAACAGTAAAATACTATCGCTGCTATCTGTGCAGATAGACAAATGGATGTGGTTCTGAACAGCAGAAACTGAGTAAAGGATCACATAGCTTGTGGTTTGGTTAGACTCTGAAGGGAACTTACAATATCCATCAACAGTTCTAATTTTAGTCTCCCCATATAAAGAAATGAACACTACTGACCTTTGTGCCTTGAATCGTTCTCTCTCTAGCTGGTATGTAGCCTAAAAATCATGTTTGGTGCTGAAGAATCATTTATATCTGTTCACATATTGTACAACCTCAACCTGAGAAGCTGCTTCCATGTAAAAAAACAGAGGGATAAATCTGAAGAGAGGAGGAAGGTGGTCTTTAATTTCAGCCTGTGCTCTACAGGGCATGATTTTATGAAGCGAATCATGGTGTGAGTTGAGATCTGGTCTGCACTAGCTTCCCACATGAACACTCCCCTGTGCTATTTAGAGTCACTCATAACAACTTACTGCAGCCAGGGGCCAGTTCCTCCTCCACTCCCCCAGTATCCTTCCCTCATCCTGCCTCCTCTCATTTCTCCTGTTCTGACTCCATCCTCGTGTTTCTCCTTCCTCCCCACAGAGCACCTCTCTCCCTCTCTGAATTAAAGGATTGGGCAGGCAGCCAGTAGCTGCACTCTTTCTCCCTGTCTTGTCCCAGCACAGAGAGGATCAGGCATTTAAGAGGAAAACAAAAAACTCTTTCTCCAACTCCCTCCATTGCTGACTGCACATCTACTCACAGCACTGCTCCTTCTTTTCCTGCCAAATGCTGAGGATGCTTTTCCTCCCCCCTGATTTTCCCATTGTGCAACTCATCTGGCTACTGATGCCTGGAGCATTCCTGGGGGTTCAGATTCCTGATGTCATGTCACAGCCACCAAGGCAAAGGCACTCCATCGAACTGAGCACGCGGCTTGGTTTCATTCAGCAAATAAGAAGAAATACAAATTGCATACCCCACCTTTTGGTTCTGGAGAATCCTTAAAAATCTGGAGGACCAAGGATGAAGCTGAGCAGTCATCAAGATCAAAAAGTGTGTCTGGATCCGCAAGAATTTACCTGAGACGTCTTCACTAAAAAAAAGCTTTTACTTACTGGTTCTCAGTACTCCTGCTGGAGATATTTATTTCTTCATTTATTTCATTTCCACTCAGAGTAAAAGACTTTAC